CCTGTCACCGTGGGGGTGTCCTGTCACCGTGGAGGGGTCCTGTCACGGGGGGTGGTCCTGTCACCATGGGGGGTCCTGTCACCGTGGAGTGGTCCTGTCACAGGGGGTCCTGTGACCGTGGGGGAGTCCTGTCACGGGGGGTATCTGTCACTGTGGAGGGGTCCTGTCACGGGGGGTCCTGTCACTGTGGGGGTGTCCTGTCACTGAGGAGGGTCCTGTCACCGTGGGGGGGTCCTGTCTCCGTGAGGTGTCGTGTCACCGTGGGGGTGTCCTGTCACCGTGGAGGTGTCCTGTCAGCCTAGGGCCTTTGGCAGTCGCGCTGGAGGCCCTAGGATTTTGTCTTCTTTAGAGAAGTCCCTGTCCAGCTCTTGGGCCCGGTCCAGCCTGACCGTGTGGCCCCGGGGGCCGCGCAGTCCGAGCCCCAGTCGCACCCCGAGTGTCCGGCCCTCCCAGAGCGCCGTCCCTTCCCTGGAGCGGTGGCGGGTGCGAACCTGCGCTTGCACTGGCCGTGAGCGCGCCCTGACCGTGGCTGCGGTCTGCCGCCTCGGGAGCGGCGGTGAAGCCGGGTCAGGAGGCCTCGCTCCGCGCGCTGACCCCGCCGGATGGAGGACGGCGTCGGCGTTCAGGGCCCCATGGCACAGAGGCCTCGGGACAGCGGAGAAACGTCCTCGCGGGCGGGGGCGGACTTGATCGTGTTCTCTGCCTGGAGGGGTCACGGCTGGAGACGAAGATCTGCACCGTTTCATGTCAGGGGAACAGTCAAGCATCCGGCTGGGAATGGACAGTTATTGGTCGGTGCTTTGGAATAGGACCTCTCAAAATGGCCCCAAAGCAGGAGCACATCTGGCTTCCATGGCTGGTTAAGAAGGGCTCTTAACCAGAACAAGAGGACTGAGTTAGTGGTCTATTGTTGCCTAACATATTATACCAAAATTTTGTGGCTTAAACGGTAAATGTTTATTCTCTCACCATGTTTGTGTGTCGGGAATGCAGGAGCCAGAGTGCCTGGGCTCCAGGTCTTAAATGAGGTTGAGCCGAGCTGCTGGCTGGGGTTCTGGTTTCCTGTGGAGGCACCACTGAGGGGATCTGCCTCCAGGCCCACTCCCAGGATTATTGGTGGGACTTAGTTCCTCGTGGGCTTCTGGAGTGGAGGCCTCCTCAGTTCCTCGCTGCTGGGCTTCTCCAAAGGTCCAGCATGGCAGCTGGTTTTCCACTGAATGAACAGACGGGAAAACAACAGAGACGGACTGCTCAGGGTGGCAGCCACAGTCTTCCTGTAATCTCAGCTCAGATGTGACATGCCTTCACGTTTGCTGTGTCCTCTCATTAGAAGTGAATCAGCAGGGGCCAGCCCCTTGGCTTAGCGGTTAAGTGCACGCTCCGCTACTGGCGGCCCGGGTTTGGACCCCGGGCGCGCACCCACGCACCGCTTCTCCAGCCATGCTGAGGTCATGTCCCACATACAGCAACTAGAAGGATGTGCAGCTATGACATACAACTATCTACTGGGGCTTTGGGGGGAAAAATAAATAAATAAAGTTAAAAAAAAAAAAAGTGAATCAGCAGGTCCAGACCACTCTCAGAGGGAGGGGATTACACAAGGGACAACCACCAGTGGGTGGGGTCATTGAAGGCCATTTTAGAGGCTTCCTACCACAATGAGCCACTCATTGTGAGCCACTGTAGACATCAGCCAGCCTCCTTCCCCCGCCACAGCTGTGTTCACAAGGGAGCCGTGGTGGCATGGAGACACCATGTATTTTTAACATAGTCTTCCCCTGCCAAGACTGACTGGCTAGCACACTACTTGCAGTGACCAACTTGATCTCTGATATAGGATTATATGGCCTGAGCAGCAGGTTTGATTACAAGGGAATCCTGCAAAAATAAAGGAGCTAGCTGTTTGTTCTATAGGACTAGACAATTATTCTGGGTTTGGATTGCTTTCCCTGACTTGTGGTTCTTTTACACACTCCATCTGTGGACCTACTGAATACCTTATGCTCCACACAGCTTTTATAGCATCCCATACAACATTGCTTCTTACCAAGGAACTCACTTTCCTGTGAAAGATGTGAAGCAGGGTACTGATGCCTGTGGATTAACCAGTCTTATCACATCCCATCAGACCAGAAGCAACTGGTTTTACAGAATAACAGACAGCCCTATTGAAGGTTTACTTTTGGAACGAGGTGAGAAATACACTTTAGGATGCTCTCCTAAAGGATCTGCATATGCTCCAAATGAATTGACAGTACTTAGTAATATCTCTTCTGTTGATACAGTAACAGGGTCCAAAGAGTAGCAGAGAAATTGACGCTTTATTGTTACATCTGACACACTGCCCGTATATTTTGCTTTCCATCGTGGGGAGAGACAATCTGCCATGGGTCCTAAGTGTCCCTGCATATTATTGCTGAGCATGCCAACTGTCAGGCTTATCCATCTCCTGACACAACAGTTCCTGTAGCTAGTCACCTAGGCACCTAAGTGGGTCCAGGCGACCACAGCATTACTACCGTTTCACCACCGCTGCCCTGGGGGAAAGAGACTGGCTTGGTTGCTGCTTGCTCAACAACTGCTTGGCCCTCGTCCCTGGATTCTCCTCCTGTAATCAACCCACTGTGTGTACAGGTGTCATCTGGCCCTCTGCATCACTGTGGAAATTGGGGCTCCGGGAACTGGTGCAAATATGCTGACACTTTGGTTACTACTTTGCTGTAATAAGTCTTTTGGGGGCCGGCCCCGTGGTGTGGTTGGGTTTGGCACACTCTGCTTTGCTGGCCTGGGTTCACGGGTTTGGATCCTGGGTGCGGACCTACACCAGTTGTCAGGCATGCTGTGGCAGCAACCCACATACAAAATATAGGAAGATTGGCAACAGATGTTAGCTCAGGGCTCCTCTTCCTCAGCAAAAAAAAAAAAAAAGTCTTTTGTCTCTTACCCAGGAGTCTCCTGTCAGCATCCACAACACTGTGGCAAGCAAGTAGCAAGTAGGATAAAATCTCAGACCCTCCATTGCTCTTGCCATCCATCTCCATGACTCCAGGTTCTGTTGGTGTACCACTTTTTGCACCCAGAGTGGGGTACAAGGGGATACAATGTTTTCTCTGAATTGGAAGTTGGGAATGCCACTGGTCATTTTTAGCTCCTTCCCCTAGGTAAGGAGTTAGAAAAAGTGGTTATGGCGCTAGCTGGAGTGACTGGCCCTAATGACTACGGGGAAAAGGGAGTAGGGAGAGGAGTCTGACTAGAACTTGGCGGATCTCATCTCCTGGAATACCTCCTCAAAATACCGTGTTCAATTGTAAAAATTAAGCAAAGATTCTTGCAACCATATATAGGTAAGACTACCCAAGCCTCAGATCCTCGGGTCACCCACTAGGTAAAGAAAACTGATCAGCTCAGGTGCTGGCTGAACACAGAAGGAACAGGGAATAAGTGGCAGTGGTAACAAGTCATAACCATCTAGCCTCATGATCAGTTACAGAACCGAAGACTGCATTTACCACGGTTTTTTTTTTTTTTCCTAATCAGAGAACTTGGGGACATAAAAGACATGCTGCTACTCATCTCCTATCTTGGAGATTCTGATTCAGTTGGTCTGTAATGGGGCCCTGGAGTTTTTATTTTTAACAAGTAACCCAGGTAAATCAAGGAAACTTACAAAGCACTGCTCTGTTTTCTTCCTCTTTGGCTCATGCATATGCTTATATATTCAAAAATTTCTCTTTCCTTTCCTATCTTATACTATTATTGTATATAAGGGTGGTGGTGGTTAGGTCACAGTTTTGTCTGTGGGTTGCAAACTATTGACACAAGATCATTATAGAACCAGAGGAGAAACGGATATCTTGCTGAGATCCTGGACTTGAAACTAGATGAGGGATAATAGCATTATGTTAGGAGGAAGCATTTTAAATGTGTAAATATGGGAAGAATGGTACATATAGATGTTGGAAAGACAAAGAGATGGACTATAGTAGACCTCTGATATGTTTTGTATTTGG